AAGTAAATGCAGTCACACTTTGGAAGGGTTGGAGCGTTCGTGGAGTGCTATCTGATCTACCTACTACTCTTCTACAAATATCAAGTGTAAGTCTGAGGTCAAGTTGCTGTTGGACGGGGAGTCGCAAAGCCAGAGGATCGTCAGCGGTTGGTGTGGTATAGAACGATAGGGTGTGAACCAGAGTCAAAGTTCAGTATACTTTGTTTCAAGCATAGTGGATTGGTTTACTTTGGACTGCATAAGTCCACAAGGTTTTTCCCATAACAGTTGACGTATTTTATAAACTGGGGTTTCCTCACTAAAATCCTGATGTCATCTCTAACTTTATACTTTGCTTTCTTTTATCTGCATGTGATTAACTGTTTAATTGCTAAAATATAAAATAAGTAAAGCTGTTAAGGACACAGATCTGTTTTACAAAATCTAAAACTTTCTTAAATACATTCCGCTACGTATGATTCACACTAACAAGTGCATATTCTAATATAACAAAAATACTTCAAGTAGTCAAGCAAGCCTAAGAATGTTGTGCATCCCACAATAATGCTTCTTTTCCTGAAAAACACCCTGTAACTTTGGGGTAAGTAAACAAGTTTACTTGTAGGGAATGAGCATGCATAAGGTTAGAGATTATTACAAGGTCTGCAATTCAATATAATGTAATCCATGCTATTAAAATGACATTGGGACTTTCACATAGCACAATGAAAAGCAATTTCACAAGGTTATTAACTTAGAATTTAAATGCGAAATCAAACCAATATGGATACTTAGATATTGCCCGGATTAAAACCGTACTCTTGGGATCACTTTAGGGCTATTAACCCATGGGTACCTTCCCCTAGTGTGCACTATAGTGTAAGGAGCTCTCTTTTTCCCGTACTAGAACCAAGTCCTAGCCAAGTCAAATTCTTGATAATATCCCAAGTTTCCAAAATCAACAAGTTGAGCAACACGTCATGATATATGTTACAAACACAAAAGCTCCATGAATTAAACAACTAAATCATTAAAACAATGAAATAGAAATTAAGTAGACTAACTAAGTAATTTCTCTAGATTTCAAGAGTTGTCCAAATGATTCCAATTTAATATTTAACAAGGAATAGTTCATGGCCATACCATATATCAAATCTAAAATGGAATACAAGCATGGTACAATTAAGGAGAATTTAAATCAACTTTAATTAATTAATTCTCTAGATTTAAAAGCTCATTTAAATCATGCCAAATTAATATACAATAAAGATCAAGTCATGGCCATGCCATATATCAAGTCTAAAATGAGTTATAGGCAAGCTAACATTAATCATTAGTTTCTCAATTTAATACATATCATGCCTACAACTTATACATCACTACAAAAGCAATTAATTCACTTAGATAATAAACTAGAACACCCCTACCTCAATAGAGAATTGAATCTCTATAATCCAAGGCAACCAATCTTAAAAATAGAAAATCAGACAAGGGTTTTATAGAGGAGAGTGAGAGGAAGCTAAAGTATTCCAAGCTCAAAGGTCTAAGGTGAGTAGAAGGAGGCCAAAAATGAAGTCAAAGCTCTAAGTCAAGCTTTGCTCCAATGGTGGCTAAGTTAGGGCTTGAGAGGAAAGAGATGAAGTGAAAATAAAGTGTAAACCCTAAGCTAAATGTGATGGGATCCTCCACTCACTAGGTGCTCTTGCACTACCTCTCACACACACATAATGCAAGACTAAGTATGGTGCCTACATTTGTCACCATCCTAAGTAAACTTCCAAAACTTAATATTAGGCCTACACTTGTCAACCATCCATGCCAACAAGTGCTCCTATCCTAGGCCAACAAATGGGTGAATCTCCACCCTCCATGTGTCAAGAGATTAAGCCTCCAAATGGTTCCACCACAATGTCAACAAGTGGCTCCATGAGAGTAAGACACTTGTCACATTTTCCAAAAATTGCAAAAAGGTCATTTTTGAAAATATCTTCAACATTAAATTACAAAATGGTTCCTAAGATGAAAAATAATTAATTTACATAATTACACAAAACCCCAAAAGTCAAGAATATTTCCAAGAAGTTATACATCCATGCCCTTTACAAGAAAAGTAAGCAACTAACATGCTTTTCTACAAAAGTAAAAATGTAGATATCACGAAACTTAAATATCATGGATGTATGCAAGACCGGAATCAAATCCGAACATGAAAATTGAGGTTATTCAAGGAAAAAATAATAAACGAGAAAAAGATAAAATAGGAAAAAGAAGGGAAATGGCCGGGTCATTACAAATTGACACCTTCGAATTGCGACTGGAGCTATGAAATTGCAGATTTGTGAAGACAGAAGAAGAGGCGGAGTTAGATGAGAAGAAATTCTGCCAAGAGAGCTTTTTTGAGGGCTCGATCTGGCTTGAAAATACTATCGGAGATGATTGGGAGGAGGAGTTACCCTTCTCCATGATGAGTCTCCACCCCTTTGGAAAGCCCTAGCCCTAATCGCCGTCTAGAGAGAAAAGAGAAGTGCCCTATTATTCGTACCAGTTTCGACATGTTGAACTTTCTTCTTTGGTCTCGAAGCAAGCGCAACATTCTGAGCCTTCTTACTTGAAGTTGTTTGAGTATAACTTGACGAATCTTTATAATGTTTATTTGATGCAAATCCTTGGCATTCATCTCTTCGGATGTGTCTTTATTTCACTTGTTCCTCTATTAAGACTTCTTTATTATAAGCTTCTCAGCGTATGCCTTTCATACAGACTTCAATTGAAAAAATTTTAGACAAATAATTTTTGTAGTCAAGACTTAGCTTACCAACAGTTGATATAGTCAACCATGAGCTCGCCCTTCATTTGTTTAATGTTAGTAAGCTCTAACATGCTCATTATTCTAAAAGTACTGTAAAAGCGGTTGAGAAATTCTCATTCCATCTGCTCCCAATTGTCAATAGTGCTTGCATTCGCTTTGAGGGAACAAACAAGCTGCTTAACTAAAAGGTCCCTTTCCGTGCCAGTATTATTGCAGATCTCAACAAAATATACCACACATTGCTTGAGACTACCTCTTTCGTTAAACTGTTGAAGCTTTGGACGTTAATACTCCATTGGTATTTTTAAGCTGTCAATTCTTTCTATAAAAGGTTTTGAGTACATGTGAGCACTCTGAGGAATGCCACTGTATTGTTCTCTTATGACATTCACAGTCATGTCTTGAAGTTATTGGATAGAAAATGAGGCGACGGAGCCAAACTTCGACTGTTTGCTTAGCCATATGAGCAGTGGTGGACATGCCATTTTGATCGTCAATTGGAGTGATTTCTGGCATGAAATCAGAAGTTGGAGTTTAGTCTTTGCTCGAATCAGTAATAATATCACACAATTTTAAATTTTCTATAAGTGAGGCAATTTTTAGATCTTGCTTCTTGAGAGTCTGTTGTAGTATTTTAATTGCCCGACCCATACTCATTAATTGTTGTAGTATTTCAATTGCATGACCCATACTCATTAGTTGTTCTTCGTATGAGGTAGTACTCATCATCATGACTGGCATTGTGACAAAGTCAGAAAATTTCTTTAGCCTTAGGTGAATCAACCTTGAGCTTGGACTTGTGACTAAAGCAACCTTTAAGAAGGCTTTTAAAGGATGATCAAAGATATGTTTTGATAGTTGAACCTTTGAGGTTGTAGAAACCTTCTTGCTTGTCCCCAGAGAAGCAAAGGCAATATACGTTTCAGTTGTTGCTTTGGCGGAGTTGACGGAGTTTACTTTCACTGCATCATGTTTCCTTTTGGTGAGAATGGATGATTTGGCTATGTTCTGCGTCATTTGACTTGTAGAGATGTTGGTACCACTTAACAAAGTTGCAACCTTCTTACCACCTTTTTTGGTAGTGCTGACGTTGTTTGTCATGACTATAATGTCCCTGGTGGTATTCTTACTTCTCGTTTGAATTTTATTAGAAGCCATAGATTCTGATGATGAGCTTGTCAAGGATTTGACAAAGGAGAAAAAGATAAGAGGTAGAGGAGGTCCCACCGGGCGTGCTAGTAATTTGTACACACAAATTTCGTATATGCAAATTAAAAGAACGAAATATGTATAAAAATTGAGTGCAATCCTGTAAGGTATTCTTTACAAAAGAAAAAAAAGTATTTTCTGAATTGATCTCCTTTGTTGATTGGATTAAAGGGCTGTTGGAGCTTAATCATTAATTGGGCTGTTGAAAATCTTTTTCAAATACTAGAGATTAAGGAAGACCGTCAACGATTTCTAATCGATGACTTCCAAAGCTTGATCTCGAATAGTGTTGTTTGGTGATTCTTTGGACTTATTAAATCATAGAGAAAGAACGGCAATATTTTTTATGTGCTTGTTGTCTTCTCCTTCAGAGCCTTTAAATTTGTTGAATTTGAGAAAGAATGACACAAATTTGGATGTGCTTGTTGTTATTCGTCTCTAGAGTATTCAAATTTGTTGAATTGAATTTGAGAGAGAACAACACGATTTTGGTTATGCTTATTGTTCTTCTTCTTCTTTGGTGTTGAGAATAAGTGTTAAGAGAATGTTGAGTTTAGCAGATGTTTTGTATTCTCTTTGAGTTTTTATGTTCTCTCTTCCTTTCCACCGTTCTACCTCTATTTATAGGCTTCATAAATGTGACAACCCGGATTTTTAAGAGTTGAAATTTAATTATTTGGTGACTTTTTAGTTGTCATTGATTATTTTATTTAAATTGGAGACTTACCAATTGTGAGATTTAAATTGATTTGATTTTAGTTTAATTACATATGTGATATATATATATATATATATATTGCTTGTCTGATGAAGGAGATGCCACCAGTAGCCAAATTGGGGGGAAAGGAAATAAGAAATGGTTATGGTAATTTTCGGGTCCCACTTGAAGGCATTTAAATGCTTTGATTTATTTTATAACCTTTGTATATATAATGATATATACATATGTTTAGTAACTTGTCTAAGCAAAATGGATGGAATGCATGTACCAACCGAGATTGGGATAAGGTGAATGGGCAGGTGGCGAAAAGTGGAAGCCAATATGGGTTTTGATTTTGTGATAGTGGGCGGGTCCCACTTGAGGGTCTTAATGGGTTGAATTTATTACATATATATATATATATATATATATGTATATATATATAAATAGCAATTGATGAAATGATGCATAAAGGGAGCAGCCGAGATTGTGAAAGGAAGAAAGATGAATTATGGTGGCGGGTCCCATTGATTGATATTTTGGCACTATTTATTTGACTTTGGCTTTTTCCACGTTCTAATGTGAGTTTAGATTGCATTCTTTGTATTTGAAATTTGATTGTTAAAGTGATATATGAAGAGATAAGGAATGGAAAGGAAGTGGGTGGCGGGTCCACTAGTGTCTTTTGATTCTTGATATTTATTTTGTAGTCTGAGCAGTGTTGTGTCAATTTTCTATTTATATCAGTATCAGTTTGTGAGTTTGAGAATGATACAAAGGAAAGAAGAAAAAAAAAATAGAGGAACACACTGTCAGCCGAGAGCTCTAGGAGAGAGAAACCCGAGATGGACTTGATGCTCAGATGATGATGTGATTCTTTTGCAGAGTAGGGATTATCATACCTTGAATGGCTTAAATGATTTGTTTCAATTATTTTATTGAATGATATTTTGCTAAAATTATATATATTTATTTTGTTTAAATATATATGTATATTTTTGTGAAACTAATTTTGCATGAAACTTCTTGAAATCCTTGTTATGGTATTCTTATTGGGACTTTCCCCGTCTCACCCCCCTACAGTTTCAAGTACTGAGGATGAGCTTGGATTGATAGCTGTGGGCTTAGGTGGAAGAGTTGGTGTTGAGGATTTTATTCTATTATCTAGAGAATTTTGTATATTTATTTTTGAGGAATTGATTTAGTACCAATTTAATTGAATTTGAGATGTTATATTTATTTGAGGAATTGATTCTGTATCAATAAAAGAGTATTCTTTTTGAGATCCTGGGTGTGTATTTAAGTATTTTGATTTAATGAAATCGAGGATTTTATTTAGAAAAATTCGGGGCGTGACAAAATGGTATCAGAGCCTGTATCCAGCCGGAAGTGTGAGTTTGGTGATGATGTTGTCGGGTGTGTGTGGGCGAGTGTTTAGTTCTGACTAGCTACCACTTGTAGCCGGGTGTGTGTGTCCGGATGTCATTCACTGGCAGCTATTAGGATGATTACTATTGGTGATTAGGGGCAGGTGTCCTTAGATCACTAGTGGTTTTATTTTATGGGCGGGTGACGGCATCGTCTAGTTACCACAACGGTTATAGATTGTGTGGGCGGGTTAATAGCACTCTCAGTTACCACAATTTTTTTTCATGTCACTGAATTTCACATCGCTTGGGGTAAGGAAAATTTTAGATTTTTTTTAGCCACTTTGGTTGTTTTCGGGTATACGAAGACCGTTGGATCTGAATTTCAGGACGAAATTCTTTTTAAGTGGTGGAGAATGTGACAACCCAGATTTTTAAGAGTTGAAATTTAATTATTTGGTGACTTTTTAGTTGTCATTGATTATTTTATTTAAATTGGAGACTTACCAATTGTGAGATTTAAATTGATTTGATTTTAGTTTAATTACATATGTGATATATATATATATATATATATATATATATATATATATTGCTTGTCTGATGAAGGAGATGCCACCAGTAGCCGAATTGGGGGGAAAGGAATAAGAAATGGTTATGGTAATTTTCGGGTCCCACTTGAAGGCATTTAAATGCTTTGAATTATTTTATTACCTTTGTATATATAATGATATATACATATGTTTAGTACCTTGTCTAAGCAAAATGGATGGAATGCATGTCCCAGCCGAGATTGGGATGAGGTGAATGGACAGGTGGCGAAAAGTGGAAGCCAATATGGGTTTTGATTTCGTGATAGTGGGCGGGTCCCACTTGAGGGTCTTAATGGGTTGAATTTATTACACACACACACACATATATATATATATATATAGCAATTGATGAAATGATGCATAAAGGGAGCAGCCGAGATTGTGAAAGGAAGAAAGATGAATTATGGTGGCGGGTCCCATTGATTGATATTTTGGCACTATTTATTTGACTTTGGCTTTTTCCACGTTCTGATGTGAGTTTAGATTGCATTCTTTGTATTTGAAATTTGATTGTTAAAGTGATATCTGAAGAGATAAGGACTGGAAAGGAAGTGGGTGGCGGGTCCACTAGTGTCTTTTGATTCTTGATATTTATTTTGTAGTCTGAGCAGTGTTGTGTCAATTTTCTATTTATATCAGTATCAGTTTGTGAGTTTGAGAATGATACAAAGCAAAGAAAAAAAAATAGAGGAACACACTGTGAGCCGAGAGCTCTAGGAGATGTTATATTTATTTGAGGAATTGATTCTGTATCAATAAAAGAGTATTCTTTTTGAGATTCTGGGTGTGTATTTAAGTATTTTGATTTAATGAAATTGAGGATTTTATTTAAAAAAATTCGGGGCGTGACAATAAAGAGATAGAGTTATAACTTACTTCACCTTTGATTATAAACCATTTATTTGTAATAATTATCTTATGACCAATTTCAAACGTGGGTCTGGACTTATTTAGTAATTTGACTTGACCCATTGACATATTTCATGGTGGGGTTGATTTGAGGATAGACCCAAATTATATTGGGTAAATTCTACCCAATAATCTCTGATCTTTGACAATATCCCACTCACACCCCCTCTATGTTTCATAATTTCACCTATTTCCTTCAATAATTTCATTTACCTCCCTTGTCAGTAACTGTCGTCCACTTTACTAACAGAAATATATAATTTTACAGTTTTGCCGATAAATTATATATTAATATTTATAAAAATTAGTAACTTAAATGAAAAGACCTAAACACCCTCTATTTCTCTCTCTATATATACAGACACATATATACACATTACACTTTTGCGCGCGCGCGCACACACACACACATATATATATATACTATTATTAAATGTGCAAAGAGTTTCAGTTTTTCAGTATTTATTTATTAATATAAAAAAAGAGTTTTTGTAAAAACAAAATTTCCTTAAAATTATTTAAAGAGTTTAATTCAAATTACAAATTACCTAATAAAATTCATAAAAAAATTAATTTAAATAGGTTAATTCAAATTACAAATTACCTAATAAAATTTATTTTCCTTGTCTCACATTGGTTTTGGGTTATAAAGGATTACATGGAAGCCTCTTATAAAACTATAGACCTAAAGAAATATTAATCACACATTTTTCGGCCTTTTGGCTAAGAGATCAAGTGTAGTACTAAATTTTTCAGTATTTATTTATTAAAATAAGAGTTTTTGTAAAACAAAATTACCTAAAAATTATTTAAAGAGTTTAATTCAAATTAAAAATTACCTAATAAAATTCATAAAAATTAATTTAAAGACTTTAATTCAAATTACAAATTACCTAATAAAATTTATTTTCATTGTCCCACATTGGTTTTGAGTTATAAAGGATTACATGGAAGTCTTTTATAAAACTAAAGACCTAAAGAAATATTAATCACACATTTCTCGGCCTTTTGGCTAAGAGATCAAGTGTAGTACTAAATTTTTATTGGTCGGCCTTTTGGCTAACCTTTATCGTCCTTTTCTTAGTCTTTCAATATTTATAATTTTAGGAGTTTAATTCAAATTACAAATTACTTAATAAAATTTATTTTCTTGTCCTACATTGGTTTTGAGTTATAAAGGACTATATGAAAGCCTTTTATAAAACTATAGACCTAAAAAAATATTAATCACACATTTCTCGGCCTTTTGGCTAAGATCAAGTGTAATACTAAATGTTTTTTGGTTGGCCTTTTGGCTAACCTTTCTCGGCCTTTTAGCTAACCTTTCTCGGTCTTTTTTGGCTAAGATCAAGTGTAGTACTAAATTTTTTTTTGTTGGCCTTTTGGCTAACCTTTATTGGCCTTTTCTCAGTCTTTCAGTATTTATTTATTAGTATAAAAAAAGAGTTTTATAAAAAAAAAATATACCTAAAAATTATTTAAAGAGTTTAATTCAAATTACAAATTACCTAATAAAATTCATAAAAATTAATTTAAAAAGTTTAATTAAAATTACAGATTATCTAATAAAATTCATTTTTCTTGTCCCGCATTGGTTTTGAGTTATAAAGGATTACATGAAAACCTCTTATAAAAGTATAGACCTAAAGAAATATTAATCACACCTTTTTTGGCCTTTTGGCTAACCTTTCTCGGCCTTTTGGCTAAGATCAAGTGTAGTACTAAATTTTTTTGGGTCGGCCTTTTGGCTAACCTTTATTATAAAAACTCTAAAAATTATTACCTAATAAAATTCAAATAAAACTCCAAAAATTATTACCTAATAAAATTTAAATTACCTATTGTATGTATTTGTTATTTCTAAAAAAAAAAATCTATGCTCTCTCTATATATAAGTCACTCTAAAAATTATTACCTAATAAAATTCAAATAAAATATTTATTAAAACTCTATCACAAAATATATTTCAAATTATAAAACTCTAAAAAAAAAAAAAAAAAAAAAAAAAAAAAAAAAAAAAAAAAAAGAGTTTCTATAAAACTCTAAAAATTATTACCTATAAAATTCAAATTACCTATTTTATCTATTTCTTATTTCTAAAAAAAATCTATACTCTCTCTATATATAAGTCTTTTTTTGCCTTGTTACACTAAATATATTTCAAATTATAGAAACTCGAAAAATTATTACCTAATAAAATTCAAATAAAATATTTATTAAAACACTAACACGAAATATATTTCAAATTATATATTTCAAATTATAGAAACTCTAAAAATTATTACCTAATAAAACTCAAATAAAATATTTATTTGTGGTAGAGTTTTAGAAAAAATATTTTTACAAAAAAAATATGAAATCTAATTAGACAATGATATATTTAAAGAAAATAAAATAATTTCTATAAAATTCTATCACAAATTACCTATTTTTTTCTAAAACTCTACCACAAATTAGCTTTTATTATGAGTTTTTAATAAATAGAAATTAGTATTTCAGTATTTATTTATTTATATAAAAAATATTTATTAATTGATATAAAAATAGTTTTTATAAAAGTAGTTTCTATAAAATTCTAAAAATTATCTAATAAAATCAATCACAATAAAATATTTATTAATTGATATAAAAAGAATAGTTATTTTGAATAGATAATTACCACAATATAACCGGCCCAGCCAATTATGATTATGTCATTATTAGGAGAAGATACATGTCATCATCCTATTAATTCAAGAAACCTATGAATAGAGGCATGGAGGAAGGTGTCCAGAAATTGAGAATTATAGAAATCCAAAATTCCAGAGTAAAATATTGAAACTCTGCCAAAGAGTTCCAGTATTTATTTATTTATCTATAAAAAACTATTTATTAATTGATATAAAAAGAGTTTTTAGCTATATTATTATTAAATGAGCAAAGAGTTTAAGTATTTATTTATTTATATAAAAAATATATTTATTAATTGATACGAAAAGAGTTTTTTTTAAAAAAATAAATAAAATAAATAAATAAAATAAATAAATAAAAAACTCAATAACACTCTAAAATCTACCTAATAAAATTTAAATTAACCTGTTTATCTATTTATTATTATTAATTTTTTATTAAACGAAAATCTAATTAGGCAAGAATTATTAATATAAAAAATATTTATTAATTGATATATAAAATAAAATAATTTTTCTAAAACTCTACCACAAATTAGATTTTATTATGAGTTTCTTAATAAAATTAAATCTAATTAGAAAATGATATATTTAAAGAAAATAAAATAATTTCTATAAAAATCTATCACAAATTACCTATTTTATTTTCAATAAAACTCTATTATACCAGACAAAGATATATTTAAAGAGTTTCTATAAAATTCTAACATAAAGTACCTATTTATCTATTTATTATGAGTTTTTTAAAAAAAGAAACTCTAATTAGACGAGAATTATTAATATAAAAAAAATTAATTTATATAAAAAGTAAAATAATTTTTCTAAAACTCCATCATAAATTACCTTTTATTATGAGTTTTTTTTATAAAGGGTAATATAATTAGACAAGAATTATTAATATATAAAAATATTTATTAATTTAAATAAAAAGAGTTTTTAAAATATTTTCTATAAAACTATAACACGTATTACATATTTATCTATTTATTATGAGTTTTTTTAATATAATTAAACAAGAATATATCTAAAGAAAATATAAAAAAAAAATTATAAAATCTACCACAAATTAGCTAACTCTAAAATCTACCTAATAAAATTCAAATTAACCTATTTATCTATTTATTATTATGAATTTTTTAATACAAGAAAATCTAATTAGACAAGAATTATTAATATAAAATATATTTATTAATTGATATATAAAATAAATTAATTTTTCTAAAACTCTACCAAAAAATAGCTTTTATTACGAGTTTCTTCATAAAATGAAATCTAATTAGACAAGAATATATTTAAAGAAAATAAAATAATTTCTATAAAACTCTATCACAAATTACCTATTTTTTCTATAACTCTACCACAAATTAGCTTTTATTACGAGTTTTTAATAAAAGGAAATCTAATTAGACATGTGACGCCCTGGTTTTTCAAGCCAGTGCGCCTTGTAATGAACCGAAGATTAACTCGATAACGGATCCAGATGCGGAAGTAAGAAATAAGACAACTGTCTCCCAAAGTACAACACACTTCTAAGACCCTAAGATGACCTTCCATGAGGTCACGGAACCCAAAGGAATAAAGTGCGGAAGCAAGATATCGAAAAAATAACAATTAAGCCCCTAGGGGCAAAATAGTTATTTCTAAAAATATGGATTCGGGTTCCACCAAGCACACCGATGGAAAGACAACGAAAAACTAATCAAGATCAACTCAAGAATCGCATGATTCGGAGTCCGAACGAAGGAGAAACGGTATGACGAAGAAAAATGAGCACTTAAGGCTAAAAGGGTAAATTGGTAATTATCCAGGAATATCCGGGTGCAACTGAGCATACCGTTGGATAGACAACGAAAAATTAGTCAAGTTCAAAAAAAAAAATTCATATCATTTGGAGTCCGGACGAAGGAGAACGAGCGGAAACAAAAATCGACGTCAGGACGTCGAGACGGGACACCATGGGCGCCCACGAACTCCCCCACGAGCATCCCCACGAGCGAGCATCCATACGAGCATCTTGACAAGCACCCGGACATGCTAGAAAAAAAAAAAATGTTTTCCAAAACTAAGACTTGAAACGGAGATCGAAACGAACTTTTTTGGAAAAACACGAAGAAGAACCCCCCCCCCCCCCCCCTAAAATCGAGTTTTCTACCCGTCTGCGTGAAAAAAAAAAAAAAGAAAAAAAAAAAAAAACACAA